GACTGACACCAAGAAATGGTGCAAACAAAGCAATGAGCAAACATTGATAGTTTGGCTCAGCCTAAACTCAGAAAAAGGACAGTTGAAGCTTTTGTGATTCCAAGACAGCCACAAAAAAGTACTTCATCACATATCAAGAGGCACAGTGGCTCAATGGCTTAATGACACTGTAGATCAGGCATGTCAAACTTGCGACGTCACGTGACGTCGTGCAACATATCAGGCCGATTTTGCCATTGCCGGCAATGGGGTGGGCGTGGCTTCCACGTGACACATCCGGCCCGCGGGCCGACAATTTGACACCCCTGCTGTAGATGGCTTCTGCTCTAACAGTTCGAGTCCTAGCAGTGTATGCTGGGGTGAGCTCCCGTCACTCACCTCAGCTTCTATCCACCTAAGAGTTTGAAAGCATGTTCTATGTGGGTAGATAAAATAGGTAGCACTTCGGTGGGAGGACGAGCTGGTGCTCCATGCAGACAGCTTGATTCTTGCCCTCTGAACCTTTCTGGTTGCAGTGCCCATTTGCGAGGTAGCTCTGGGAAGGGAGGGGGCTTTGGATGATGCTACAGGAAGAACCATTTGTCTTTCTTTCTGGTGTGAAGCCAGCTCGCTCTCTTGTAGTACACCATGGGAAGTGCACGTTTCCTACAACAGAGCTGGTACCTTGGCAGCCAAACTACTACTCTGCAATTGCACTGAAGTCTCCTGGCCAATATAACAATAGCCATATGCTAATAAATAATAATAATCACATACCAAGAAAATCTCCAAAGTTGGAACAACAGAGGTACATACAGTATTTAGTAGCTATGTCCATAGAAGTGTTCAGAATTCAAGCTAGTGAGCTACTAGTACTAGCTCCAAGATGAATTACCCAGTCAACTGATGACATTTTGAATTTGTTTCCATGTATTTTTCCCCAACTTCTAAGCACTGACATTGTTACTACCAAGAGATGTCGTTTTCTTGATCCTTAGAAAAGAACTTTCTAAGGAGCTATCATGAGCTGGTTTATAGTGAACTATAATCTCCTTTTAGCACAATCTACTAAATAAATTACAGTTAACTGGAATCACATGCTAAACCATTGACCATGATTTTCTAGTCACAAAGACTGGAGTCATGTAGTAATGATTGCTTTACAGCTTAGAGCAGACATGTCACTCGCGATGTCACGTGACCTCGCGCGACATATCGGGACTGTTTTGCCATTGCCGGCAATGGGGTAGGCGCAGCTTCCGCGTGACACGTCCGGCCTGTGGGCTTGCAGTTTGACACCCCTGGCTTAGAGTGTTACATAAACTATGCTGGAGTTTTACTGAAGTTTTTCCAGTACTTCCCAGGGTCAAGCTGGCTTTGTTGTTCTGATTATTTCTTGACCCTATGGCTATTTGGAGTAACTCCACATATGTTTTCTCACCCAGGAAAAAGCATAGATTTGATGGGAGGGCTTTCAAATTAAGGCAGTGTGGTTTAAATAAGTGTTTTTCCAACCTTGGCAGCTTGAAGATGCGTGGACTTCAACTCCCAGAATTCCCCAGCTGTAAATTATTCATGACACCTTTCTATTACTTATTTAACCTGCTTCATTTGGTTGAGATGGATGTAAAGGCCTTTTCTCCGGGGAGATGGCAATACATTTCAGTTCACTGTAGTATCTTTATTCCCCCTATGATGCTGACTGCAGCATGTTTTTACCAAGAAGGTCAAAATGCTTGAATTTATACGAGTAAAGATAAAACAATAGATCAGCACCATACATTGAATATTGGTTGTGGGTTGTGAGAGGTTTTTTTTTTTCCCCAGAATAAATCAGCATGGATTCATTCAAACCCTCAGCAAGTGGCAAATAATGATTTTTAGTAAGATCCAGAATAAACAAATGAGTGACAATGAATTAATTCAACTGGAAGTCAATTGTAGAATTTCTGTCAGTGGATGCTTGCCTTTTGCAGTTTTGCATACTGAGAAGGAAAGGAAATTTGACTTTAGAAGAATGATACCTTGGTAATTTTCTGGTTGGGCTGCTTAAAATTAAATCATAAGAGAATAATTTTTGACATTTATCTCTTTCCTCATTATATTTGCTACTGCTCCCAGTGGCAACAGTGGTATAATGGGCTTCATTCATTCATCCATTCAATTTACGATCCACTGTAATCCTCAAGCACTTCCAGCTGTAGAAAAAAACGGAAGACTCTGGGGGTGGAGTTAAAAGAGGGATCAGCCTATAATCCCTATGAGCCACAAAGGAATGAAGTCCAATCTACCTTGAATTCTGTTGACTTGTATCTAACCCCAAGCAGGTGTTAACCGTTAGTTGAGAAGATACTTGTGCATAGCTATGATTAGCAGTAAATCAATTTAATTGGATCTTCACACTAGGACCTGATCTTTTGTGCCTGACACCAGCAGTTAATAGAGGCACATAATAAAAGCATAATATAAAATGATATAATCAAAATCAAAGCTGAAACCAGCAAATCAACCCCTGCCCCCAACCTTGAAATGGCCACTGCTTACACCACAAATTGCATCGGAAAAGCTTAGTTTTCAGCATCTTCCTCTGACCGTGAGGAAGTCAGGTTGAATTCAACCAAGATGCTGTCCAAAAAGCAGGTGCCATCCCAGAAAAGTAGTGCTTCTATATCTCGGCTTTTCCCACTTCATGGAAGTGAAGTACTACCAGCAGTTTCTCCTGGACAAACAAGTCAGGTGGGTCAATTCTGGTTGGAAAATAGGCTCCTTAGAGACATCTGGGCTCCAAAGCCCGTAAGCTTTACTAATCAGAACTTGCACTTTGATTACATCTAGAAGCCAACACAGGGCCTGTAGCATAGGGACTAATGTGCATTTGGTGACATGAGCCAATCAGCTAGCGGACTAGTGCTTTTGAAACTAATTGCAGTTTCTGCATGGCCTTCAAAAGAAATCTCTATAGAATGGATTGCAATAGTCCATATGGGTGGTAAGGAGAACATATAGTAATAATAATAATAATAATAATAATAATAATAATAATAATAATAATAATAATAATAATAATAATAATAATAATAATAATAATAATAAGAAGAAGAAGAAGAAGAAGAAGAAGAAGAAGAAGAAGAAGAAGAAGAAGAAGAAGAAGCAGCAGCATATAAACTCTCTTAGCTTGAGCACAATTTTATCATACTGAGGCATCAATGTAGAATCTGTCATTAAACAAAGAAATGAACAAATGGTCATTAATTATTTTATTTTATTTTTTAGTACTGTGGAGAGCTCAGTTGAAAGATACAATGAAAATAAAAGAAAACATGGAAACCAAAAGAGCACAGATGTAGTTTTATGTACATCAATACTGCTTTTTTTTTTTTTTACATTATTTATATATGCTAATCGCACTGCCAACAGGTTAAACAGCTTGCATTATTCCATATATAGCCTTGGTCTACGCCATTTAGTAGCCACTTCAAATTTCAAAAAGCTAAAAAGAAAAGAAAAGTGATCAATAACTGCAAACTATAATTCAGTGATAGGAAGAAGTGTTTTCATTCAGCACTTCCTGTAGAAAACAAAGATGGTTGATAGAAGGATCACAGCACACTGGTAGCAATGGCAATATTCACAGGCTTCAGCATCTTTCAAATTATCTCTAATGGCACAGAATACAATGATTTGTCAATAGTTTGCAAGCTAGGCCTGCTAGGGCACATGTTTGCAGAAATAACGTTGTGTCCAGAACAACTGTAGGCTCGAATATGTACAAACAGCTCTTTACAACTCATACCTGTAGCAGTATTATTTTTTTAAAAAAAGAACGTAGGCATATACTATACTGAGAGCAGCTGATTATGCAGTACTTTAAGACAAAATAGAATTCTATTTTTTTCCCCTCCACTCTTTCCACCATCAGGGCATTTTTGTTCGCTGTTTTTCTCCTCTGAACATTTGACTGTTACCTTGAATTAACAGATAACCTCGGACATTTGTGTATTCCTTGTTCCTATCTGCTGCAATGCGTCAGGAATTAACCTGTGACCTAATTGATTGTTCAGTGCAAAGATAATCCCATCTTAGGCAAGGGACTGGATTCCGACAAATCCCTAGGACTAAGATACTACTTGTGTGTGTGTGTATATGTGCATGTGTGCTTGCACACACGGGCACAAACACAAGCGTGTGCATGTGCACTCATTCCGATTTGGTAACCAGCATAAAAAATAATGCATCTTGGAATTGGTATAAATAGTAGGGATAAGAGGTTGCCTCTTAACAGAAAGTATAAAATTGCTCCAAGCTGAAACAGCAAAACAGTGAAAACCTGTGCTGGATGATGCCACAAGGGTTCCACGCACAATCCAAGGAGTGCAGCATCTCTTCATACAAATTGCTTCCCTGTCTGAATGTTATAGAGAATTAGAGACTAGAACACCTGGTCCTGGTTTCCCCCCCCCCCCACCTCCCTTCCCTCCCACCACAACAGAAACCCCATTTACAAAAATAGTCACATATAAACACCCTGCGGATTTTATTTTAAAAATAAAAACACGGTAAATTCACCTACACTGTGTGCTTGTGTGCACACATGCGAGAATATGGCGAATGTGGCTGCTGAAGAACCCACAGTGAGAACACGTCCTGAATTAAGTGTCTTGTAACTTACTGAACGTGTAACAGCTTCGCCCGCTTTACACTGAGCAGCAATGTCATCCCTCTCTCTCTCTCTCTCTCTTTTGCAGCAAGAGCAACGAGGGGCGGCCACTTTGTTTTCCAGAGTTAAGGTCTGGTGACTAGGGGGTCACTGTCTTTATTATAGGCACTAACCTTGAAAGAGAGCGTACATATCTATATAGAGACATGTCTGCGTATGTCTATATCTATACATAGATATACATGTAATATATTTATGAACACTTGACAGTTTAGCATAACTCTCCAGTGGAGCTGGGCTGGCAAATACATCCCCTTCAAAGGCTGTAAACAAGTTGAAGGACAAATAATGCAAATGATCGGCTTCACTTTTTGCTAATCCTTCTATCTTTACCTTTAAAGTCTCTGTCTCTTTTGCCCTTTTCATATTTCTCTTTGTTTGGCTTAGTAACACTATCATAGGAAGGGGGAGAGGTGGTTGAGGAGCTCTCATCTGTTTTCTCTGGACTGGAATTCCCATTCAACCTATCAGAGGTCATGTCTTTGATTGGTAGGAGGTCGCCATCTCTGCATTTTTCTTTATTGTACATAGAAGTTGCTTTTTTAACTTTCTGTTTCAGGACGAAACGCTTGAAAGTCCGTTGAATGATGGTAGCGGACACCTCCTCCTGCTTCCGCTTTAATGTGGTGGTGATTGGTTCATATGAAAGCTTTGATGGATTGGCTGCCGTGAAGCGCTCTTCCATTTGCACTCGCAGTAAATCCATTTCTTCGCTTTCTCCCAAAACACGCTTTGTAAAGGCAAACAAGATGTCAAGGCAGTGAATTCTATCACCACTCACCATGGGCAGGTCCATCGCAATTAGCTGGACTTTGTTTGGTTTTGCAATCAGAAGAGGAGGATCCAACGAAGCAGCAAAATCAGAGAGTTTACTATATTCCATAAATTGGGATGCATCCGGATCAAACCTTTCCCAGACCTCATAGAACATCTCAAAATCATCCTCGCTCAAAGGCTCAGCACTTTCTTCGGTAGCGACGCTGAAGTTCTCCAAAATGACAGCAATGTACATGTTCACTACAACTAAAAATGAGATGATAATGTAGCTGACGAAGAAGAAAATCCCCACCGAAGGATTGCCACAGTCTCCCTTGACTGAGCTACCCGGGTGGTCTATCTCCGGGTCGCAGTCTGGAGGCCCGCTGTTCAGGATGGGCGCTAGCAGGCCATCCCAGCCAGCGGAGGTGGTGATCTGAAAGAGGCAGAGCATGCTGTTGCCAAAAGTTTCAAAGTTGAACAAGTCATCAATGCCAACTTCTCTCTTCACGTAGGCAAAGTTGGACATTCCAAATATGGCAAAGATGAACATGACCAGGAAAAGGAGGAGACCAATGTTGAACAAGGCAGGGAGAGACATCATCAAGGCAAAAAGCAGAGTGCGGATCCCTTTTGCGCCCTTGATTAGACGCAGGATTCGACCTATCCGGGCAAGTCGAATTACTCGGAACAAAGTGGGGGACACAAAGTATTTCTCAATAATCTCTGCAAGGAACATTCCTGCAAAATAAAAAAATATATATTTAAAAGTGACACTTTAACAGCACCCAGTATTTCTCATTACTTTATAAAGCAGAAGCTGGGCATTAAGCATACATGAAAATTAAAACAAAATACTTTTTTAAATGATTCCTAAATGTAAACTGCTATATTAGTCCAAAGGAAACATACCGATTAGATGCTGGTATGTTGAAAACAATTAACAAGCAACAAACTTAACAGTAAAGAAAAATTAAGACTGTTAATCTTCATTATCTTAGACAAATTCTAAAACAATCAATTTGCAAACACAACAAAAAAAATGTGTAAAAATTCTTTGGCTCTGTCAGGGAACTGCGCAGCCATGGAGCCAGAGACGCTGAAACGAACTTGTAGTTTTATATAACTAAATATATTTTACATTTATATTTACAGTAAACAAGATAGTCATGCACACCACTACATCATGAGGTATCATGAGAACAGCATATAGAGCACACAGAAGAAAAAGGCAGGAAAAAAGGGAAACTTCCCAGCAACCAATCATAACATAGATTGCCCCATGCAGGAGCCCACACTCTCCAACCAAACAACTACAACTGTGTGTTCTGGCCCATTATACACTTTACTGTTCCAACTATTAAATTAAATATCTTAACAGGCTCTCTAGTCTGTAATTTTAAAATTTTCTGCTAGAAAACTTTGAATGTTATATAAACAATATCTGTTTATGCAATATGTAATATAATATTCCATGATATATAATGTCCAATAAGATGCATGAAATAATAACTTCCCATTATTGTTTTCCAGAAGCTGCCAATTTAAGATAAGCTGCCTGTGATTCAGGTGATAGCAAGCAGCTGCTAGCAACCCTGTCCTCCATGAATTTGTCTTGATTGCACTTAAATTCAACAAAAGTCTGTATTTGAAGTTGGCATTTTTGTATATGTTTCAATATATCAATTTGATTATGCTTATATTTAATAGTATTTGCCAATTACTATTAACTCTTGTTTGCATTATATATAAAACAATCCTATTACTGAACTGGGAATCTAAAAAAATAGTACATGACTTTAATGAATCAGTTTACAAACCTATTACTGAATTAGAACTCTAATGCAATTTAGTAAATGATTTTAGCCATCGTTTAATTTTGGAAACAAATGGTTCTTACCTACAATGGAGAGAATGACAACGATAAAATCAAAAATATTCCAGCCAATGGTAAAATAATAATGACGAAGTGAAATCATTTTGAGTATACATTCTCCAGTGAAAAGAACTATGAATACCAGGTTAATCCTGGATAAGTTAATTTCCATTTCTTTACTTTGGTCATCTGTTTCAACCATCATGGTGACCATATTAAGGCAAATAAGAATCATGATACTGATATCAAAGGCTTGTCTGGTTACAAAGTCAAAGACTATTCCTTGAAATTTATTCTGTAAAAACAAAAAAACAAAAAATGTTAATAATGCAAAATTAATTTTCTTTATTATCGGATTATTTTTTTTCTTTATCATTTCTTTTTACTAATGTTCATGCCCTCTTCTTTTGGGAATGGACGACTGGACTAAGCAGAAGAAAACAACAACAGCAAAGATCAAATCTTGAACCAAAATCCTAAATTTGATAACACAAGCTACAATTTCAGATATTTCATTGTCCACATATAATTACAATAAGTGCACTCTATGTTATTTTAAACAAGATGCTAAGAGTTAGAAAGCGTGGTCTTGAGAGCAGAAAATATTCGAAATAGAAATCCTTACCCCTGGTCTCGGTATCGGCTTTTGTGGTTTTTTGGAGCCCAGCTTTTTCATTGCATTGTAATATTTTTTCTGTTCCTCTGTCATAAAAATGTCTTGTCCTCCAAAGTAAAGAAATAAATCAAAACTAGTTACACAACATGTTGGCATATTGATTTTTGTAATGATCGATGATGAACACATTTTAATCCATTGATAATAACAACATATAATCACAATTTTGTATAATATCCACTGGCCAAATAAGGCCAAATAAAAAGAACTGGGTTTGAAATTTAAGGCCTGAAAGAGTCTTAAGAATTTATTTCTATATAATACCATATATACTGAGTAACTTTTTCTACCTAACCTTGTCCTTCAAAATATGGAAGGTAGGTTCACAAGATAAGATTTCTTTTTCGGCTATGAGATTGAAAGAATATATAACCATTCTTGCTGGTCTACATTCGGTAGTAGAAGAAGGAAGTACGATTAAAGGTATCTCTTTTCTCTAGTTTCGCTGCTGGATCATTTTAACAGAATGGGTGTAATGTTTTCATTGTTTTAGTTTCATTGTTAGTTGTCCAGGGAATATTTATAAATATAGAATATTATAGAATAAATAAAAAGGTTAAAGCAGGATTGGTTAAACTCTTCCTGAAAGAGCAGGTTTATAATCTAGGAAAGTCTTTCTCCACATCTGTCTTTGTATCCCCCAGTGCCAAGAAGCACATTTAAAGGATTATGCCTGCTGTACCAAGCAGCAACCTTTCTGTAAAGCTTAAATACAGGCACAATTATTTATGTCTTAGTTGTCTTTAGAGTATTGCAATATGCTGTGTGTGAAATAATCTTTGAACAGTGTCCCAAAGCAATTACAGTAATGTAAAGTGCAACAACTTTATTGTTAAACTATTGTTAAAATTCCAGGAACATATTATGTTTATGCTAAAAGAACTGCATTAGTTCCAGCAATCTTATGGGCAGAATTCAAGACATAAGAGTTTAATTTTTAATACACTGGACGGTTTAGGGCCTAATGATCTGTTAGGAACCTTTCTTGTTATGAATTTGTTTGGATGTTAAGGGCTGCAGGTAATGCCCTTTATGGATACTCTTATTTAAAAAGCAACCCCCCCCCTTCTGTTGTGTATATGGAACAGGGTCTTCCCATGCATCCCTTCCTAGTTATCAAATGCCTACTCTCAGTGCTTTTTTTCTAAAAAAAAAAAAAAAAAGGTGCCGGAACTCACACATGTCATACAACCCGCCTTGCCTACCCTACAAGGTTCCATCCAAAAAAGGTGCCGGAACTCCGATCTGGGTGTTCTGAGAAAAAAAGCCCTGCCTACTCTTAGGAGTTGCCTTCAGCCCCTCTTCTCCTTCTGCCTTTGGGAAGGGAGTTAGAATTCACTTCCTGAACTGGGCCTTTTAGTGTTTTCTATGATTCAACCATTTATATGTCTAGTTTAACTATGCTTTGATTTGTTGATCCCTTTTTAGTTTCGGTTTTATGCTACTGCATCCATCCTGATCATCTTTTAGAATAATAAATATGTTTATTAAATAAATATGTCTACTCTTCGTATGAAATTAATATTCCAAATACAAACAGGTAATTGTTGTAAAGGTCAAGACCAGATCACATGCTGCACTGAATTATAAAGTCCCCCCCCCCCACACACACACTGTTACTCATGAAACTACAACTTTGGACAAATCACACTTTCTCAACTTAAGTTGTTGTGTTGGGATCAGGCTGAGGGCCCGCCAGTGAAAAGATGTACTATAGTAACAACATTTAGAAGAAATGAGTTTTATATACTCTTAGTTCCTTATTTCCCCTCCCTCCCCCATTGTATCAACCAGTACATAAAAACATTTGATTTCTTTACCTTCATATTGGTTCCTGCACTGAAAGTTAAGATGTGTTTGGGGAGGAGGATTATAGATAAAAAAGAAATAAACTAATATTGGTGACATTTCTGTAGCTAGCAGAAAACCTACTGGAAACTCAGGATGACAAGATAGTAGTATTTATATAAATATTTAAATATATATTGTTCTAACATTTTAAGGGGGTTTCTTGTGGTTTTTTTAAATTGTAGATTTTACTTCCAGAGCATACAGCAAACACTTTAAATACTTATCTTCTTTTTTTGCTGATTGAAATTATCTATAATGACACCAATGAAGAGGTTTAAGGTAAAAAATGATCCAAAGATTATGAAGATAACAAAATAAAGATACATATATAAGTTGTCCTCATAATAGGGTTGGTCTTCTACCTACAAGACATAAAATAATGCAATCACTTAAGACAGGCAGTAATCAAATGCTTTTGTAATGCAACAATTGCAAATTAGGAGTCTATTCAGTGGTGGGATTCAGCCGGTTAGCACCAGTTCGGCAGAACCAGTAGCTATTTTTTTGTTGCCCAGGCCCAGAATGGACTTCCAGAAGCAGCATCCACACAACCAGTTGTTCACATATTTGAATCCCACCACTGAATCTATTCCTGTTTCTATCCATGCTGTGAATGTAGACTTTGATCAAGCAGAAATTCTCCCATACTCAATGTATTCAGGATACAAGGGATCTGCCATGTTTTCACAAAGTCCTACTCTTCCAGCTACAATCTATAGCATCCTATCCTTAACAGTTCTGGAGACCCTCTTAATTCTTCCCAAATTTCCAGAGGTGATGGTGCCAAAGTAGGGAGAAGGTAAATCAGCAGAGATGACTTCTCGTCTCATTCCATTGTAGAAATATTCTGTCAAAAACTTCCACAGATGGGAGAAACTTTTCCATCTGTAGGAAGACAAATCTGGATCCAAGCTACTAAATGCAAATGTCTTTCAGTTTATCATTCCTGTGAAACCTTTTATCAATTACAACTCAGAAATACTTTAAGTATTTTTATTAACAAAATACAACATATACAGTTATGAACCAGAAACATTTCTCTGTGTTTAATAGAATATGAAATGACACTTACATTCCGTGAATCAACAGCTGCATACATAATATCCATCCAGCCTTTAAAAGTTGCCTAAACAGAATCAGAATGAGTGAAAGTTCAGTGAAAAGGTGAAAGAGATACAGACATGAAACACAGGAAACACATTTAAAATCCTACTTTGAAAAGTCCTGTTGAAATCAGTGGAAGGTAACTTAGTCACGAGGAAATACTAAGGATGTGCAAAATGTTCAATGCATGACTCAAAATGTGAATGTTTCAGCTGTTTTTATTCAGGGCTGTGTGAGGGTGTGGGGAACTAGGATAAAGTCAAGGATACTGGCAGCTAAAGCTGATGAATAGACAAGGTTGGTAGAATATGCTGCATGGGAGCATGGGAACAATGGCAGAAATAGCTGCTGGTAGGCACTTCTGTGGAATATACACACTGGGACATTGGCAGTGGCTGAAGGGAAGGTAAAACATGCTAGGAAGACCAGGGACTATCAAGCTAATGGGCACGTTGGAGGCAGCTGACAGGACAGAGTGAAGGAAAGTGCTAGAAAGATGGTGGAAGGGCCAACGAATATGTTGCATGGGGAACTGCTGATGGAAGGAGGGCAGAAACGGGTGAAGCCTTTGTCCTCTTCATCAACCCCAGATTTCATTTTGAAGCCTGGAGCAACCAAAACATTCAGGTTTGTGGAACAATTCATCTGGAATGATTCAACAGAATCTAAACACAGAATGATTTGTTTCAGAAATAAAACATTTTTCCTGCTTCTGTGGACACCTCACAGCGTGCAAGGCTGTCAAATGTAAGCTGCAACAATCCAGATTGGACTTGAGTGGCAGCAAAGAGTTAGGGGGTTTCTAAATTTCTATGCTGCTATCTAGTGGTCACATGAATTTTTGCAGCCCACCTGGAATTCTGAAGTCTAAATCCAATAAACAAAGCATTAAATGTAGTGATTCTATTTTTGCCGCATAAATGCAGGAAATATTGATATAAACATTTAATGGAAGAGCTGAATCAGTACTTTACAATCTAGTTTGCATTCTGATATGTTACAGAAGAAGATGGCAGCTGATACAATAACACTGGACTAGAACTAATGCAAAGGAAAATTAGAAGATCCCTCAAAAGGTGGATTTACTTCCTGAATTTGGCTGAATACAATACTTCCTGAATACAATAAGAATTGGTACACCTGTACTAGTGAAATTACTATACTCTACTGATGTTTTTATTATATTTTACTGAATATATTTTTGATGTAGTGATGGGATTACTGGATCCGGACATGAGAAATTAAGTCTCTCTCAGCCATAGAGTTCACAGTGAATAATTTTTAGTCAACTATTTTTTCTTTGCCCAACCTATCTAAAAAGGTATTGTACTTGTGAGAATAAAATTAATAACACTCATCACTTCAATATGAAGAACTATCAAGGCAGCCATAATAATATTCTGCACAACAGAATAGGTTTTGGAGATGAGAAGTGTGGATGGATCACCAAATAAATGGTAATACCAATGAACCAAGCTGTGTACTTGATCTCAGTCTCTTCTTAGTAATAAATTAATCTTGTGCAAGCAAGAACAATGAATGGACATTTTAAATCCTATTGTATTAACTCCATTTTTCCTTTCCTACAGAAAAGGAATGTTATCGCTACAGCAGCAGCCCAGGATCACCTTATCAGTAGAGTTTGCTAATAATGGTAGACAAGGTATATGTATCCTACCATCACGATCGACAGGAATTTTCTCACTGTTGCATTTTCTGTGGGAGTCACTAAAGATATTTGCAATATTGACACAGAACTGTATCATTTCAAAAATGGCTTACCATATATTACTCTACTCCTTCTGATTCATCCGCCTCTAATCTCCTCTATAAACCTCCCCAGGAAGACAATTTCACTAGATTGACAACACCTATAATACTTCTCCTTTCTTATAATAAGCCTTATATCCAATGGAGTGGCATCTAGAGAAGAGCATCATTGGTGTGATCATGCTTAAATCAGGATATATTTTTTTTACTTGTAGAAATTCCAATGTGAACAGTGCCTGCAATGGCTTCATTACTACTTTTATTTATTTATTTATTAAATTTACTATATATAGTCACCCATCTTACCGAAGGCAACTCTTTTGATCCTGGATCTTGATTCAAGCAAGTATCACTGGAACTTATGTGGAACTTTAGAGTGAAAGCAACGAACTTAGATGAT